TGGTATTATAGATTTAGAAGTTACTATATGTTTAAAGCCAACATTTTTAGAGTTGGACTTGCTCTAATAGTCAGTTGTTCCAACAGTACAACTTAGATTAAATTGAATCGATTTCAATTCAGTTCAGTTGAAAGATAATAAATATATATTAAACTAAATTTTATTGTCTCAGAATTTGGTTGCAGTAATACATACACAAATTCAGTAGGCTGTGGAACTTGCACAGTATGTCTGGCTAACGTGATGCTGTGATACTAGGCCCAAAGCACCCATCAGAAAATGCCAGCTCTTAGTTTTCATTCATTTTTGACTGAGAGTAGATACTAGAGAACTCTTTTGTTGCAAAGAACTGAGAGAGCTCACAACAGGTAAGAATGGTTTTAACACTGTAGATTCCTATTTGCAATCTTTGGATTTATTTTGTGAAGCATGTTTGTAGACCTAGCAGTGCTATCAATACTTGGCACTCTGAGGTATGTTTAAAGGCATCCCAAGGCACCCTGGAGTGCTGCAGCATCCTGGCTGAGAATTAGGGATTTAAGGTATTCACTAGAATTACAATTTGGGACTGTTTGCATGAATGTTCATCCACTGATGACTAAGGTGTCTGTTTCTCTCAAAAGTCTGCTGACGTTCCAGAAATACTCTTAAAAACCATCAAAATGCAACTTCTCTTGGATTTTTTTATTTATGCTCACTGAAGAAAATAAGCCAGCTGCATCTCTCAAACCTGGAATGCACTGGAAAGTATCCGGACTAATGTAAACTAGTTGGTATGTCTAAGCTTGGCAATGGCTCTCTTATGTTGTTGTATTGCAGATGATTATCCCACAGGCCCCAGAGTGGGAGTAGAAAACCATATCTGCAGAAATGCCTTTTTAAAATGTTACGCTGTACTTCTCTATATATTTCTATATGTTGAGCTGTATATACGTTGAGCTCTATATATTTCTATATGTTGAGCTGTACTTCTCTATATATTTCCAAAAAATTATTTTTTTTTTTTGGTTTCTAAATATGGAAAGCCTGAAGGCTGCATGCATTGCATTTCAGAGAAATTCCAATGCCTATTTACAACAGCTCTCCAATAGCTCAAAAGAAGTCACAAGATATACATGAGACATTACAAATGATACTCTCTAAAAGGAGTACAGGAACATTAAGGAATGATGCTTTGTGAGCCATTTGCAGCAGCAACATGAGCAGCTGTTTACATGCTTATTACAAACAATGCAGAGTACAACAGTGTTAAGTTTTTCTTTTATTTCAGAAGTGCTGGAAGCTCCTGAACACCGTGGAAAGTACTTGTTTGCCCTGTCACATGTGGCAGGTACTTTAGTACAAAAATTGAAAATGTAGATATGCAGACTCAGTTAGGAGCAGATAGGGAATTTTTTTGTCTTTTCCAAGTTAGAAGCTAGGAGTGGATATGAAAACAAAAGGCTATCTACAATGGGGGGAAGTGTATGGAAGCTGATCAGTGCACTTTTCTATATACCAAAAAAAAAAAAAAAAAAAGGG